TCACCAAACCAAGGCTGAATCCTAATCTAATCGAATGACCTAGAGATCTAATTGCTGAATCAATTCTATGCATAGTTAGCTTGTCTTCTCAATTTGCTTGCAAGGTGTTTGATCAAATTTGTTAGAGCTAGTTTTGTAGTTAGGATTTCAGATTTGAATTAGATTTAAATTTCGGCTAATCAGATAAGAGTTGGCTGATGTACTACTAGTAGTTGCTACATAAGTCCTTGTGGGATCGATACTCTATTCATCACTCTATTACTTGTGCGGTTAGTGCACTTGCTAGTGTAAGCAAATACGCATAAAGTTTTTGGCGCCATTGTTGGGGACTTATTGCTGCAATATTAGGAAATATTAGCCACTGTTATTCTGATTTCTAATTCTGCATATTAGGATTCAGATCTGTGTTTTATAAAATGAGTGGTATAGATCTGTTTGCATTAACTTTCATTGCTGAAATCAGAATTCAGATCCAAACACACAGAAAAAAAAGTTATAGCTGCTCTAATTCAGTAGTATAGCTAATAGAGATAGTCTAGTTCTATACATTACAGTTTAGATCTGCACACACTAACCTATTGTTTTAGGTAATCTCTTTCTTCTTTCCGAATGTTTATAGTCCTGTACTAGGTAATCTAATTTTTATTTGTGCTGTATGATAGGTTCAGATCTGTAGATAGAATAACTTCCCTTGCTGATATGAGTAGTTTTCTTGCCTAGTGATAATTGCCTCTTTCTCAGTTTGCTATTCTAGTTTCTGGTTTAATAGCTTGTTGTTCCATTTCTGGTTTAATAAATCTGATATATTTCTGATTGGAAGTAGGATTCAGATCTGTATTTTCTGATATCTGTAGTTTCCCTTCTATTGTTGATTTGTTTAGTTTTGATTACTGATCTAGTATTGCCAGTTGAACTGATTTCTGGTTCTTTATATCTCATAAAATCAGTGGAGTTCAGATCTGTACACATTAGCTTTCAGTGCTGAGTGCAGAAATCAGATCTGAGCACACAGAAAAATCTTAGGCTGATATCCAGATCTGTGTATATTAATCTTCATTGCTGAAATCAGAATTTCTTGCCGATTGTCTCTATGTTAGGCTACTTTTCTTGCTCCAAGTGTGCAATCTGCTAGAGTTGATAGGCTACTTCTCTGATTTCAAGCTAGTATATCAGAGTTCAGATCTGTCCATATTCAGCCTGCTAATTGTTATTGTGTTTAAAGCTTTGTCTTCTTAGATAACATTCAGTCTTTGCCTTGTAAATTGCTGCTAGATTAGGATTGCTAATTGTTTAATTATTTACATTTCTGATTTGAATACATTAGTCTTTTTCTTGCTTTGACTTGTATAGTTTATGACAAGCAGACCTAAACCAGAAGAAGTCCCTTACGACCCAAAGATTGAAAGAACCCTCTGCATTTGCTTACGAGCTGCTAGACAAATTAGAGCTGAAATTGAAGAAATGGCCGAACCAAGGACTATGATGGACTATGCCAAACCAACTCTAACCGAAGCTGCTTCAAGCATTGTAAGACCAGCCATTGCTGCTAATAATTTTGAGATCAAACCAGCCATAATTCAGATGATCCAAAACACAGTTCAGTTTTGTGGAATGGCTCATGAAGATCCAAACTCTCACATAGCCAATTTCTTGGAGATTTGTGACACATTCAAGCATAATGGAGTGAGTGATGATGCTGTTAGGCTAAGGTTATTCTCATTTTCATTGAAAGACAAGGCCAAGGTTTGGCTGAATTCATTGCCAGCTGGATCTATAGCCACTTGGGATGAGATGGCTAGCCGATTCCTCTCCTAGTACTTCCCTCCATCCAAGATAGCAAAGATGAGAAATGACATCACCACTTTCTTCCAACAAGATGGAGAATCTTTATATGAGTCATGGGAGCGTTATAAGGAGCTGTTAAGGAAGGTCCCTCACCATGGACTTCCTATATGGCTGCTAGTGCAAATCTTCTACAATGGTCTAACCGAAGCCATCAAGACCATCCAAGATGCGGCAGCCGGGGACTCCATCAACAATAAGACCCCTGAAGTGGTCCATGCCCACATAGAGGAGATGGCAGCCAACAACTACCAATGGCATTCAGAGAGAGCACAAGTGAAAAAGCAGCTTGGTCTTCACAATGTGGACACATACACAGCTCTATCTATGCAAATAAGAGCACTTAGCAAAAAAATTGAGGAGATGCAGATGGCAGCCTTGCATGTGCAGTCCGTGACATGTGATTGGTGTGGGGGAGGCCACATCAGCACTAAATGCCAAGTTGGCAATCAGTTTAGGCAGTCCACAGAACAGGCTGACATTGTTGGCAACTTTCCAAGGCAGCAATACAGTCAGAACCACCATGCATTCAACCCCGGATGGAGGGGCTACCCAAATCAGTCATGGCCTAATCAGCATGGGCTGAAGCCCTTTCCCCAAAATTTACATCAGCCAGAAAAGAAATCTAACCTAGAGGAGCTGATGACCAAGTTCATAGACAGTGCTGAAACCATATTTCAGAACCAAGAGGCCTCAATAAAGAACTTGGAAAATCAGGTTGGGCAGTTGGCGCAAATGATTTCTGCAAGAATACCGGGCACTCTACCAAGCAATATAGAAGTGAATCCACGAGAACAAGTGCAAGCTATCACTTTAAGAAGTGGTAAGGAGCTGCCGGAAGTAGAGAAGAAAGCAAGGGCTGAAAACAAGGCAGATGCAACCCTTGAAACCGAAAACAAGAAGGAGGAGCAATCTGAACCGCTGCAAGAAAGACACCAACAACCGCAAGTTCCCATTCCCAATAGGCTGAAGCAACACAGGTTGGAAAAGGAATTTGGTAAGTTTCTTGAAGTGTTTAAAAGTTTACATATTAATATTCCTTTTGCTAATGCTTTAGCCCAGATGCCACACTATGCAAAATTTTTGAAGGAGATATTGGCAAACAAAAGGAAATTGGGAGATGTGGCTACGGTTGCTCTAAATGAAGAATGCTTGGCAATCCTTCTTAACAAGCTGCCCCAAAAGCATAAAAACCCAGGGAGTTTCACTATCCCTTGTACTATAGGCAGTTTAAAAATTGAAAAGGCATTACGTGATTTAGGAGCTAGCATAAATTTAATGTCATATTCGGTCTTCAAAAAATTGGGATTGGGAGAACCCCAACCCACAAGAGTTGCATTGCAATTGGCTGATAGGTCCATCAAGCATCCTAGGGGAATTATATAAGATGTGCTTGTTAATGTAGATAAATTCATCTTTCCAGTTGATTTCATTGTATTAGACATGCAAGAAGATGTTGATGTTCCTCTCATCCTAGGGAGACCTTTCCTAGCTATGGGGAAGGCAATGATTGATGTCCAACAAGGACAACTCAGCCTTAGGATTCAAGATGAGGAAATAATTTTTAAAATGTCTGATGCTATGAAACATGCACCCTTTAGTGATGATTCTTGTTACATGGTTGATGTTATTGATTATGCAAATGATGATTGCTTTCAGGTAAGCAAAATGGAAGATCCTCTTGAACTTTGCCAACAAGAAGGAGGAGTTGCAAAGGAAGAAAATGAAGAGGTTAACCGCATGACAGCATACCTGAATGCCAAGCCACAGTTCCATGGGAAAGGATTTCTCAAGTTGGAGAGCTTGGGCAGACCACCAATGCCAATAAGCAAGCCTTCAACTCAAGAACCACCCACCCTTGAACTGAAGTAACTCCTACCTCATTTGGAGTATGCTTTCTTAAAGGCATCGTCAGCTTTACTGGTAATCATATCAGCAGCCTTGAGCCCGTTGCAAAAAGAAAAATTGTTAAGAGTGTTACAGGAACACAAGACAGCCTTGGCTTGGAAGGTAGCCGAGATCAAGGGCATCAATCCATTGGTATGCACGCATAGAATTCTGATGGAAGATGGCAGCAAGCTTTCAATTCAGCCCCAAAGACGCCTGAACCCGAACATGAAGGAGGTGGTGAAGGCTGAAATCATTAGGCTCTTAGATGCCAGAATTATTTATCCTATTTCTGACAGTTCTTGGGTGAGCCCCGTGCAAGTAGTACCCATGAAAGGTGGCATGACCATTGTTCCAAATGAAAGAAATGAACTCATCCCGACTAGAACCATCACCGGGTGGCAAGTATGCATTGACTACAGAAAGTTGAATGAAGCCACACGCAAGGATCACTTCCCTGTCCTGTTTATTGACCAAATGTTAGAGAGACTGGCCAGACATGAGTACTACTATTTCTTGGATGGTTATTCAGGTTACAATCAGATCCCAATTGCACCGGAAGACCAAGAGAAGACCACCTTCACTTGCCCTTACGGTACCTTTGCTTATAGGAGAATGCCATTTGGGCTGTGTAACGCTCCAGCAACTTTTCAATGGTGTATGATGTCAATATTTTCTGATATGGTTGAAAAGTTCATGGAAGTTTTCATGGATGACTTTTCAGTCTTTGGTTCTTCCTTTGATGCATGTTTGAACAATTTGGAGAAGGTGCTTAGGCGGTGCAAGGAGACACATCTAGTGCTGAATTGGGAGAAGTGCCATTTCATGGTGCAAGAAGGCATCGTGCTTGGGCATAAAATTTCATAGAAAGGTATAGAGGTTGATAGAGCTAAGGTGGAGACAATTGAGAAGTTGCCACCACCAACATCAGTCCCTTCTGTAAGAAGCTTCTTGGGACATGTCGGGTTCTATAGAAGATTTATCAAGGACTTCTCCAAGATAGCCAAGCCATTGTCTACTTTGCTTCAGAAGGATGTGGCCTTTGATTTCACAGTCAAATGCCTACAAGCCTTCAACATTTTGAAGGACAAGTTGATCAATGCACCCATCATGATTGCACCAGATTGGACACTTCCATTTGAGCTAATGTGTGATGCGAGTGATTCATCTGTAGGAGCTATTTTAGGACAAAGATTGAACAGACACTTTCAGTCGATCTACTATGCTAGCCGAACCTTGAATGAAGCACAATAGAATTACACCACAACAGAAAAGTAACTTCTAGCGGTAATCATTGCTTTTGATAAGTTTCATTTATATCTGATTTTGTCCAAAGTCATTATGTATACAGATCACTCGGCATTGAGGCACCTACTCACCAAGAAGGATGCAAAACCAAGGCTTTTTAGGTGGATCCTATTACTGCAAGACTTTGATGTGGAAATCCGTGATAAGAAAGGTGTCGAGAACCTAGCTGTTGATCATCTCTCCTGGTTAGAGAATGTAGACTTAAAAGAGAAGACAATCAGCACCATCCGAGAGGAGTTTCTGGGTGAGCAGCTCTACTCCATTCAGGTAGACTCATCACCTTGGTTCGCTGATTTTGCAAACTATCTTGCTACACATGTTATTCTCCCTAACCTTTCATATCAGCAGAGGAAGAAGTTCTTCTCTGATGTGAAATACTATTTGTGGGAGGATCCCTTTTTGTACAAGCTATATGCAGATCAGATCATAAGGAGATGTGTTCCCGAGGAGGAGATGGAGTCGGTGCTTCGGTACTGCCATGATAGAGAAGCGGGAGGCCACTTTGAAGCCAACCACACTGCAGCCAAGGTCTTGCAATCAGGTTTCTATTGGCCCCCTTGTTCAAGGATGCTCATAGGTATGTGTCTTCATGTGATCAATGTCAGAGAACAGGTAACATTTCCTGGCAAAATGAGATGCCCCTCACAAATATCTTGATTTGTGAAATTTTTTATGTATGGGGTATAGACTTCATGGGACTCTTCCCGAATTCTTTTGGGAATAAGTACATCCTAGTTGTCGTTGATTATGTGTCTAAATGGGTGGAAGCCACGACTTTACCCACAAATGACTCTAGGAGGGTAGTACATTTCCTGAAAAAGGTATTCACCCAATTTGGCACACCCCATGCTATCATAAGTGATAGAGGAACCCATTTCTGCAACACCCAGTTTGAATGGCTGATGTGGAAATATGGTGTTACACACAAATTGGCGACCCCATATCACCCTCAAACTAGTGGCCAAGTCGAATTAACCAACAGGGAGCTCAAAAGAATATTGAAGAAGACTATAGACTCTGCTAGGAGAGACTGGGCAATCAGGTTAGATGATGCATTATGGGCCTATAGAACTGCATACAAAACACCCATCGACATGTCCCCATACAGGCTAGTTTTTGGTAAAGCATGTCCTTTACCTATCGAGTTAGAACATAAGGCTTATTGGGCACTAAAGCTCTTGAATTTTGATTCACAAGCCTCAGGAGCCAAGAGGCGGCTGCAACTGAATGAGTTGGATGAATTCAGACTTGCCACCTATGAGAATGCAAATGTTTACAAGGAGAGAACTAAACAATGGAGTGATAAGAACCTGTTGAGACATGACTTTCATGTAGGCCAGCAAGTGTTATTGTATAATTCCCGTCTCTGGTTGTTCCCGGGCAAACTAAGATCCAGATGGTCGGGGCCTTTCACCATCACACAAGTTTTTCCCCATGGGGCCGTAGTGATCACCCACCTGGTATAGGGCACATTTAAGGTGAATGGTCAGCGCCTCAAGCCATATTTAGTGGGAGGAATGTTGCCTACTCCATCCACTGTATACTTAGATGATCGGTGATCTCACTAGACTGTCGAGTTTTGGATGAGTTGTCATAAACTTTCTTGTTTTCTTTCTGCTTTTATTTTTCTTAGCATTTGAGTTTAGTTTTTTTTTGTTAGGATGTTAAATTGGTAGGCTACTGTTCTCTCTAGTTTTTTGTGATTTTTCGCAGCTAAGGGCTTCCCATCAAAGGAGCTATTATAAAATTCAGAATGATCTTCAGGGAAGTCCCCTCAACCCCACTCCTTACTTGATATTGCTCTTCATGCCCTTACCCTCATTTCTGGATTCATTTTCACTCCCTAACACTAGGAACATTGAGGACAATGTTCATCTTAAGTGTGGGGGAGTTAGGCTAAGGCTATGCATCTCAATCATCCCAACACTTTTATACATGCATTGATAAGCCAAATAAACTGGAAATCCCCTTAAGATCATTGTTGTTTATTAGGTGAATTCAAAGAGGGAATACAATGAGTTGAGGGAGACTACTGTAAGTGTCCGAGTTTATTCTTGTGAATGATCCAAACTTTTCACAATTCATGAGGTTAAGGAAGCTGAATATGACTTTCAGCATGACTGACCCTAGCTACCTTCATGTGTAGAACGCACTTGATTAAATAATTCATGATCATTCGAGCTAGTTCACATCTGAACTGTTAATGCATGAGGTTCAAATAACTGAAAAAAAAGAGAGTGTGAGATGGAGCATAAAATGCACTCAGACCAAAAGAAAAAGAAGAAAGAAGAAAATACCCTGTGTGAGGTGGAGCATAAAATGCACTCACACCAAAAGAAAAAGAACAAAGAAGAAAACACCTCGTGTGATAGGGAGCATAAAATGCACTCACACCAAAAGAAAAAGATGAAAGAAGAAAATACCCCATGTGAGATGGAGCATAAAATGCACTCACACTTAGAGGCCAAGGTGCTGATTTGCATATTGAATGGAAGTGAATGTGGGAGCATGAAGAATTTCATATTCTCCCCTTCCTTGGCTCTTATGTATGTGATAAGAATGGTAGTTCATAGGAATGGAGCAGAATACTTACACAAGTTTCCCGACCACTCAATGCATTTTCCTCTTAAAAATTCATCCAGTAAATAGTGAGAATAAGGGGGGATGATCTGTTTATGGGTGATGTCTTTGCTAGAGGACAAGCAAAAGCTTAAGTGTGGGGGTGTTTTGATGTGTGCACAATTTACATATAAATTCTGGTGTTTAAGCATGGTTTTGATGCCGATTTGTGCGAATTCTTACCACAATTGAGCTTGATTTTAGGAAATTTTCAAAGGGGACAAGTCTAGGGAAAAAGAGCATAAAACCATGCTAAAGGAGGCCAAATTGAAGGTGATACAGCCCAGCTGGGAGCAAGGCCCAGCCGAGAGGTCAAAAGATGGCTATTTGTCCCTTAAAGCCCATGCAACACTCTTTCGGAGAGCCCAAAGAGAGAGCCCAACCGCAACCTTCCAAGGGAGCCTATTTGGCCCAGCAAGGAGGGGGCCCATTTGCAGCTCAAGAGCAGTCCAAATTGTAGCTCAAGAACAGCCCGAATTGCAGCTCAAAAGCAGCCCAAAATGCAGCCAAGAGAGGCTAGGGGAGGCAGCTTCTAAAGAGTTTAAGAGAGCTAAGGGCAGCAACTTCTAGAAGGTTCAAGAGGCTAAAGGCGCCAAACTTTCTAGATGAGAGAAAGGGGCTGAAGAGAAGGCTATAAAAGGAAAAGAGAGCTAGGGGAAAAGGGGTCAAAAACCTTTTGGGCGAATTCCTTTTGGGGAGAAGAGAAAGATAGGCGCAAGAGAGGAGAAGAGAAGAGAAGAGAAGATTCAAGAATATTCAAGAGAAGAAGAAGCTGATTTCGAATTTGGAGAAGAAGCC